CACTGAAGTATAGAGAAATAAAGATGTCAAATGATATCTCTAACAAGAGAAAGTTAGAGGAAGAAGATTTCAGCGACAACAAAAAAGTGAGACAGGAAAGTCCCGATTCTGTAGTTGACGATTTGAATTATTTGAAAGAGAGTATCAAGCAAGAAATATTCAAGACGTTTGAAGACAGGTTTAAAAGGTTAGAGAATGAAATCAAACAATTAAAATCTTCTTCTAAAGATGATTCTAGTACTTTATCTGGAAGAACAGCGAACGAGGGATCTGTCGGCACGCCTCCTGATGAAGCCAGCCTTAAGGTTTCCTCGGGTGGTCCTAAATTGCATCCTTTGAATCCTACAGTTGGTGAATTGTCCAAATCGAATTCAAATCCATTTAATGAAATTAAGGGATTCAAATCGACGGATGGTAATGAAAAAGCTACGGACCTCAAACCATCTAAGCATACGTTTGGGGGGAGCTCATTCAAAATCAATACACCTATGAATTCATTTGTGTCGAATTCCAATCCAGCCGATACTCCTACTGCCCCAAATACTGCTCAATCATCTCCTAAACATGTTTTTGGTGCCACAAGTTCATTTGGAGGCGCTTCTGCTTTTGACGTCGCAAAAAGCAAGAAGAATGTTTTTGAAGCTTTACCATCAAAGACTACAAACGACATTTCAAAATCTCCTAGCGCTGATATTGATATTTCTAAGAGCAATTCTTCATCAGTGACATCTTCTTTTGGATCTGGTACATTTGGAGGCAACACAAAATTTAACAACGCATTTCAGAATTCTTTGAAGAAGAAATCATTTTTAGATGATAAGGCAAATAAGGATGAGAAAAATGGAGAGACACCCGACACGGAAAATAATGGTAAAGAAAATACTCCGACTACACAACAATATAAGCAGGTGGATTTGACTCCAGTTGGAGAAATTAAGACTGGAGAAGAGAATGAAAAATCCCATTTCACATCCATAGCTAAAATATTCGAATTAAATTTAACAAAAATTTCTGACGGATGGAAAGAAAGAGGTTTAGGTAGATTGCATTTAAATCAATCCCTAGATGACCCACAAAAAGTGAGATTAGTCATGAGATCTCAGGGATTGCTCAGAGTTGTCTTGAACATGAAAGTGACTTCCAATACTAAGTTGATCAAAGGTTTAGAAGCAAGCTTATCTCCGGGAAAATTCGTTAGATGGAATTCTATTAATGATCAAGGAGTGCCCGTACAATATTTGCTAAAATTTGCTAATCAAACAATTAGAGACGAGTTGGTTGAAAAAGTTGAGAATTTAAAGGAGACTTTTGAAACAGAGCCAAAGTCCAAGGGTACTGAAACTAGTTCCGGTGTAGAATCGAAAGAAACGAAACAAAATGTTACAGGCGTGAAATGGTTATAGGAACTATTATATATATGTAAAATATAAAATATATTGTATAAAAATTCGTGATACTTAAATGTACAAATTAATTTTTGATAAATGCGATGCTACAAATAGTAGACCCTTTGACACCCCCGAATTGGAAACTAGGATATTCTATTTTATTCCATACTGACAAGCTATTAGTCTTATCTTGGGTTATAATTTTTATTAATTCTGATTCAGTAAAATTGCAAGATGTTATCAACAAAACTGAATTTTGATGCATCAATTGCGATACTTGAGATGCATAGACATCCATTCCGATTTTATCTCCTAATTCTGAAATTGGGTCCTGGTTAAGTGCTATGGCATCTAGCGTGCCCTTATCTAATAGAATATCAAACTGAGATGTGTTAGCAGACAAAAATTTATTATCCTTGGTTAATAAATCCACTTGTTCGAATTGAAATGCAGCCTGAGGATATTTTTGTTCAGCTATTTTAGTAGCAAATTCTACGGAATCTGGGGAGTAGTCAATTCCCATAAAATCAAACTTAATTTGATCTTGGTAATCACATTCTTCTAGGATATCTTCGTGCAATTGAAATAATAGGTGACCATTACCGGTTCCTAAGTCGACTATTTTGATATTTTCTTGTTTTCCAAAAGGTAATTCTTCTCCATTTATTTTATCAATAAAAAATTGTATCATCTTCAGTTCTGCATCTGAATCATCAAACCAACATTCTCCAGTATCCTCCTCATTATCTTGGAAGTTTGCTATTTCCTTCTTGTAAAAACTATTCCAACTAAATAAAATATTAGTATTTTGCAACGGAATAAGCAGAAAAAAAAAACATTAACGTACTATTCTTTCGTTCCTAATTTGGAAGAGTTTAACCTTATTTCATCTGACATTACGTTTATTGGTAACTTTGTGTGGTATCGTTAGTTTGTGGTTTGATAGCAAAGCTCAACCCTTCGACAAAATTAATGTTCGAGAAATTATGTAACCTTTTCATCAGACGCGTTAAACCGTTATAGAATATCGGATTATTCGAAAGAATATCACTAGGTCAAGGTAGTTTTTAAATGATGAATGGTGAAGAACTTGTCTATAATGATATTGTGGAGAATTCTGGCGTTTCAGATGTTGACATGCAATCTGATAAACCTGACGAAGTCACAGTAGTTGAGCATTCACCAATTGATCAACAAACAGAAGTCAATTACAGAATTTGGAAAAAGAATGCCCCATTTCTCTATGACTATATAACAACACATTCATTGTTGTGGCCAAGTTTAACAGTACAATTTTTTCCAGATTTAGAGAAGCCTTTATCTAAAGACGCTAGATTAGATCCATTCCAAGACTTCAAAAAGACTGATTCAAATGGTACTAAATCAGAGAATGAAGCGTCGATGCAAAGAATTTTACTTGGTACATTTACTCTTGGACAATCGACAGACAGTATATCAATTCTTCAGTTGCCGTATTATACCAATTTAAATAAAAATCTCACCATAGATAAACTAGACTATAATCACGAAAAAGAAGAATTTGAATTAACAAAGGTAGCAAAGAAGAAAATTAATGTCCTACAGAAAATAAATCATTGGGGTGATGTTAATAAACTGAGATATATGCCCCAAAACCCTGACGTCATTGCAAGTTCTAATAATTTGGGTAACTTAGTGATTTATGACAGAACCAAGCATGCTAGTTTTAAAAATAGTTTGATAGGTGAAGATACCGAATTAAACAAACCTCAGTTGCATTTAATTAATGAATGGAACCCGTCTGATGCTGATATATTTGCAATTGATTGGAATAAACAAAAAGAAGGTGTGATAATATCAGCAAATATGGAAGGTAATATTAACTTATACGATATTAAAAGTAAATTTACCTCCAAGGATGTACAGACCATAAATGAATCACAACATTTTAGTAATTCAAATATTGCTATAAATGATATAGAATGGATACCGAATCATGACTCCATTCTCACTTTTGTTGATGATCAGGGAAGTATTAAATTACTTGATGTAAGATTACCAGAACATCAACTGTTAGTTCTTCAGCACCAAAAATCAAACAAAGGAATTAACAGTGTAAGCGTTAATCCAGGGAACCAAGCATGTTTAGCTACAGGAGATGTTGATGGTGTGATAGATGTTTGGGATATTAGATCGTTTGGTTCAGGTAACGCAAACAGTGTATATAATATTAAAACACAACACCAAGAATCCATTACGCAATTGAAATGGCATCCAAAATATCATAATATTTTAGCATCTTCATCTAGTGATAAGCTGGTTAAGATCTTTGATTTAAATACAATTGAAGAGGAAGAGGGGCTTATTTTTACTCATGCTGGACATATGTTAGGCGTGAATGATTTAGATTGGTCTTTGCATGACGATTGGATGATGGCAAGTGTTGCAGATGATAATTCATTACATGTTTGGAAACCTTCGAGTCAAATAGTCAAGCAATATGAATCCATATAGACGTAGGCTGTTGATTTCTACACGTATTATATTTAATAGTCTTTTTTATATTCTAATTCATGACAAACATTTAAGAAAAAACTAAATTTAATTCATGTGTTTCATATATAATATATATTAAATTTAAGCTTTAGCGAATAATTTTTCAACTTCAGCAACTGATTCGGCCAAAACCTTATCTTGGAATTTAGGGTTTTCAACTTCCTTGTTGACCTTTTCTAAGACAGACTTGATCAATTGTTCTTGTTCTAATTGTCTTTGTTGTTGTTCGTATCTAACCCATGAATCTAAAGTAGACTTCGCTTCTTGGGCGACAGCAAGCTTTTGCTTTAATTCAAAAGATTCGGCTTCTAATTGAGCAGTTTCCTTAGAAATAGCAAATAATTGCTTGGTAGTTTCGACAACATCTTTTAATTGAGAGACTGAGTCAATTCTGTCCTTGACTGCAGTGACATGCTTGGTACGGGATGTGTTTAATAAATCGTTAACCTTCTTGATTTCACCATCGGCCCATTCAGTGTATAATGGAGCAACGAACTTGGCAGCTAATGCAGCGAAAGCTGTGAAAGTAACGACCAAAATAGTTTCTTCGTGAATGACAAGTATTTCGTTAGAAATACCGTAGATTGCAGCGGCAGCTGAGGTAGCTAAGAAACCAGTCTTGGATAAGTAGTTGTTACCTGGCATGGCATCAACAATAGAGTTGGCCTTTTGCTTTGGCTCAACTGGGGTAGACATATAACGTAAACCAATTCTAGAAATTGTTAGTATATACGAACAAAACTTCGTTTTCATCTCGATCGGATATTCATCATGAAAGCCATCAATTCCATATCATTCTACTCTTATAATTAAAGTTTCTCATTTTGACTACAATGTATCCTGTTCCCATTCTGATTGAATTTCCGGTATGTGTTCGTTATCCTTGATTATTTCGGCATTAATAAGACCAATTTCTACGGACATTCCAATTCATATTCTTATTTAAACACATTCAATACCACTATCCAGTTTAATATATTCATCACAATTGAATTTTAAGTCCCCAATTTCTTATAGTTTTCTTCTTCACTTTACACCAGATGAAAATACTCGGATGAAAATCTTATTAAAAAAACATTAAACATACGGAGCTGGACGAATAGCCATACTAAGAGCTGGACGAGCAGCAGCTTTCGTAGCAATTCTGTTGATCATAGACATTATTGAATATATTTCCTATAAAAGCTGTACAAGAAAACAGTTCCGTGATTTCAGAACTCTTTTTCACTATAGACTATTTTCAAGACGGACGAGGATCGGGTTGAAAAATCAAATTTGATTGGCGCATTTGTAGACTTCCTAATTAGGAATCAAATGTTATACTTCGCGTTTTGCGATCCGACCACAGTAATTCTGTTTCTCAAGGCTTCTTACATTCGATCATTGATTGACACTTTCTGCATCTAGAAACTGCCTAGTGTATGGAGTTTTGATACTTGGTTTGTAATATCCTATTTATTGCTTGATTTGTTTTCGTATCTGCTTTGTTGAAATAGTACGCTAGGTCCGCTTTCAAATCCTTGCTATGGTACGCCGACTCGTGCTTCTCCAATGGAGATTCTTCATCCTGCCTACTAGAGGCCTCGTCGACCTTATGTCTGATATCTTGTAGTATATCGCGCTGTATTTGCGATGCTAAGACCTCAACGGTCTCATTATTCGAAACGGCTAATGTTGGAGGCTTCTTGATTCCGGAAACTGCATCTCTTGTTTCTAAATCAAAATTACGAGACCTTATAGAGCTGCTATTTGTATCAGGTATGTTGTCTTCATCTGTAGAATTGACTTGTGTAGCGCCATTAGTGTTTTGATCAAGAATTGATTGCGTTTGCACGTCACCAGCAGGCCCTTTTTCAAGCTTCCTTTCTTCCCTTAATTTAGCTAGACGTGACTTCCTACTAGTTGCCTGTTCACTCAACGAAAGCAGCATTATCTATTGTGGTGTATGGTTAATACAGAACTAAAGAATTCCTAAGTACTACAGATATGAATTGTTTTCATATTGGGCATCGGACACTACCCACTTGCAACCAAAGTATTTGTATATATTATAACAGAGCGGCTAATCGTATATTATAAAGCCATAATATCAAGCGCCAATCGAATAAAATAATTCTGATGGGGTCCATAATCAGGATAAATAGCCTAGATATATCTGAGGAAGAAGGAAGAGAATGTGTCGGAGGTAAATATTACCCTTGGAATCAACTTTAAATTCGACATGCATTTACTAACTGGATTCAGAAAAGGTTAGTTTACCAAATAGTAAAGAGCATAATTCAAGGCAGTCACAAGCGGATAGCTATATTATAGGCGATTCAAGTTCGGTTTCGAGTAAAGATGGAGGAATATCCACACCTACACCGGTAAGTTCACGCCGTTTTCCAGGAAGGGTAAGAAGGATCAATAAAGTTTTCAAGCCTTTTACGCCTCCTAGATTTATGCTGAATACAGGAAACTCAACTATTCAGGAATTTGCTTTGGGTTTAAGTACTCCATTAGCTAACAAAAGCCTGAATAACAGTGCAGCGTCTAGTTCTCGGTGTCATACATACCGATCAGGCACTCTTGGAATTGGCAGAATTCGAGAACCAGTTTTCAATTTTGATACTAGTCATATTTTTCGTGATCATTACAGTTTCAATTGCCTACCAATCCGTAGAAAATCTTCTTTTCCGATTAGATCGGTTAAAAAATCCAATCTAAGAAAACAGGCCGATAATGGAATTAACTTCTCTGATTTTTCCACATCTTCTGAAGGGAATGAAACTGATGTTTCTCAGAAAAGCACATTGATATCTAGAAATCATCCCGTACTATCAACTTCTATATTGCCAGAGAAATACCGGTCAGTTTTTAGTTTCAGCCATTTTAACAAAATGCAATCAGAATCATTCGAAACTATCTATAATTCAGATCATAACTGCGTAATAAATGCCCCAACGGGTTCGGGGAAGACTGTCTTGTTTGAATTGGCAATGCTCAGGTTATTTGATTTCTCCAATATGAGTAATAAAGTTCTCTATTTGGCACCCAGTAAAGCCTTATGCGCCGAAAAATATAATGATTGGGTTGATAAATTTTCTTTTTTAAGTATTACTATTGGTGTTTTGACCAGTGAAACATCAATACAAGAAGCAGAAGATGTTAAAAGGTCCAATATAATTATCTCAACACCTGAAAAATTAGATCTATTAACAAGAAGGATATCTAACTATGATAAATTATTGAATGAAGTAAAGTTAATCGTGATAGATGAAATACATATTTTGAAAGATACCAGGGGGTCTACATTAGAAGTCGTAACAACTAGGATTAACAAAATGTGCAGTAGAGTTAGGATTATCGGAGCATCGGCATCGGCCCCGAATTTATATGATATGTCAATTTGGTTGAGAAAGAAAGATGATTTGAATCCAGCTATAACTTTAAACTTTGATGATACGTATAGGTCTGTTCAACTAGATAAAATAGTTCTAGGTTATGCATCCCAAAAGGATAAAGATTTTCATTTTGATCAATTTCTTCATTCAAAATTAGTTGGAGTCATAAAACATTATGGAAGGAGCAAACCAACGTTGATATTTTGTCCTACAAGAAATAGCTGTATAAAAACGGCGAAGTATTTGAATGATAATTTTGATTGCCACCTGTGCTCCCTAAATTCTCGAGTTCAGTTTGATGAAAAAGAGTTGTTGATATACGCAGCTCATGGAATTGCATTTCATCATGCTGGATTGTCTTTTAATGATCGAAAGAAAATTGAGTCATTATTTATTGAAGGAAAATTGAATATTTTGTGTTCCACATCAACTCTATCTCTGGGTGTTAATTTGCCAACCTATTTGGTAATTATAAAAGGAACGAAGCGCTGGTATAGTGGTTCTTTTCACGAATATAAAGAAACGGATGTTTTACAAATGATTGGGCGGGCTGGACGACCGCAATTTGAATCCAGAGGCAAGGCAGTTATTATGACTACTGCAAATCAAAAAGACAAATATCAGAGACTCTTGAAAGGTATACTTAAAGATGGCTCAGAAAAGATAGAAAGTTGTTTACATTTGAATTTGGCTGAACATTTGGTGGCAGAGATATCACTAGGCACCATAGGAAGTATAGACGACACGTTACAATGGTTAAAATCAACTTTTTTCTTCATTCGTTTCACTTCCAATCCTTCGTATTATAAAGAAATATCATCCTTTCATGCACTAGAACCCAATAAGAGGTTATATCATTTTTGCCAGAAATACTTGGACAGCTTAGTAAATGAAATGATTGTTTCTCCTATATCCAGTGGTGGTTTCCGATGCACGGAATATGGAGACGTGATGACGAAGTACTATATATTATATCCTACTATGAGAAATATAATTCGGAGTAAAGTTGGGAATACATTATTAGATGTATTGACCATTTTTTCTCGCTCCTCAGAGTTTTCGGAATTTAGTATAAAATATAACGAAAAGAAGCTATATAAGGCTATTAATCTGTCACCTTATATCATGTTCCCATTGCGTTCCACGGAATTTCAAGATAGTGACAAAGTGATGTTGCTATTGCAGTATGAACTATGTGGTTTGGATTTCCCGAATAGCCCAGAATTAATGAAATTATATTATTCTTTTGAAGGAGACAAGTGTTATGTTTTCAAACAAGCAAGTAGAATAATACGTTGCATGATAGATGTTTTTAGATACAAGAAAGATTATGTATCACTACTCAATACCTTAAGGTTTTCGAGGTGTGTTGCAGGTAGATGTTGGGAAGATTCCGTGACTGAACTTAAACAATTAGACGGAATTGATTTAGAATGTATCAAAAAGCTTCGAAATAACAACGTAAGCGGATTTGCAGAAGCGAAATATTTAAGTCAACTGCAATTAGAATGTTTTCTAGGTATAGAACCTGGTACTGGCAAAAATATTGCTCAGAGTCTTCAGACTCTTCCGAAGTTCAAGATTAATGCAACATTAGCGTCCAACAAAGTACGTACTGATCTCGAAACACTAGAAATAAGCTTGATTGTTTCAATTGGTATAGATAATATAGAGAGGAGTAATTCAAAAATAAAGCATAACTTCATTAATACTATTGTTGGTCTTTCTACTGGTGAACTTTTAGACTTCAGGAGATTTGCAATGTTAGAGTTGGTCGAGGGTAACATAAATTCGTTCCGATTAACAGCTAATGTGACAGATCGCCAACAAAAGGTGCATTGCCATATTTTCTCAGAAAACATGGTTAACATCGATGAGAGATATGTTCTTTCTCTTGATATGATAGAAGAATGGAAATTTGATAATCTCATGAATCAAAAATCGAGATATGAGTCTGAATATAATTCGACCAGCATTAAAGAAATTGATAATGTTCTAACTCAATACGTTAAGTCTGATTCGGAATCTGATTTAGATAGCGATGATTTAATTTTAGATCCTGTTAAAAGTATTCGTTCTGTCGTTGAAGTATCAAGAGAGAAATATAACTTGAGAGACAAGCCTGGTCAATTGAAAGCTATTCGCAAACTAAGATTAGACGGAAATTACGAATGTAATCATCTTTGTAAAGATAAAACCAAATGTCGTCATTTCTGCTGCAGAGACGGTATTCCAAAAGTAAAGAAAAATACTAATAATCATGTTGAAATAGAATCCAATATTTACGATTCAAAATTAACAGCATCATGTTCATCTTTTGATAGTTCCCAAATAGCAAAATCACAATCAAGTCGTCCAAATGGTACCAGCATCCAATCTCAAGACTACTTACCCCTGCCAAATCTCAAGAGAAAGAAGATAAGACTTGGCCGGGGAGTAGGCATATTCAACCTAAACAACGGTGGGTTATTTGATCATTAGCAGGGCATAAATAGCCCTACGTTCTTTCGGAAAATACGTACTAGGCCAATTTAAATCAAATTGAAATCTATACATTTCATAAAATACCGCATATCATTAATGAGAGTTAATCCTTCAGCTATAGGGATAGGTTTACGATTATCTACGAAAATGCTATTAATAAATAATTAAATACATATTACGCTTCTTATGTTACATACTCTAAAATCATGTAAGTATCACAATGACCCACCTACGTAACTCTCAGCAATATCAACTAAAAACGAATCTGATATAACCATATGATCTTCTTCAATCTCTAAGAATACTAGCTTCCCATCCTCATTCATAGTTTTAAGTCCTAGCAAATCTTTCTCATACAATGATGTTTTATCAAATGGTATGGTCTTATCATAAACTGTATCCCAATCATTGAAACCAGCACTCTCTTTGGGAACTACAGTGGTATCCTTCGTAAAAACAATCATAACGAACTTACTCAATTTGTTGAGATTCTTTCCATAGGCCGGGTTAGATTTTTGAGCCAACTCATTGTTTACATCTGCTAAGAAATTTGAATGGGATACATAGTTATCATATTCGTAAGGGTCCCGGAAATATTGAGCAGGTATTATGGATTTTTGTATGTTTTCATGCCACACCTGCTTTTTAAGAATTGCATTCTTCCTTTTACACAACCAGTCATTAGGCTTACACATGGGAAGTTCCAGAACACCCATATGCGGTGACCCAAATGTTATTAGGTTGTGCACAGATACACTTGAACATCTCTGTACCAATGCCCTCATAAATAATCCTCCCTGAGAAAATCCGATTGCATCAAACCCTTCCTTCAACTCATGGATAGCTGATAATTGTTCACATACAAATTCCACTTCTTTATTTGCATCTCCGAATAATGTTTTCTCTTGATCTTTAGAAGGTTTTGCATCTAAAAAAATTGGATAGATAAACATATCAGGATATCGTTGATTGAATATAGATATCACATCCACCATTCCCGATGAATTGTAATTATCACCAAGTCCGTGCCATATAACTAATGGCCTACATCCATTAATTCTATCTATTTCTTGTTCATTTTCAGTTATTAAATCTACCTCAGCGTATTGTGGGGAATACAAATTTGTTTGAACCTTTGGTATCCCGGGCCTTGTATTCTCAAGGATAATTTCTGAAGCAAGATTTTGTAATGATAAAGCTTTCAATAGAAAATGACCTATATGCATTGTCTCGTAAAAAGAGATATATTGTACGATATATGTATATGACTTCTTACCAGAATAATCTCATATAATATGTTACACGTGAAAACTGGCAATGAGCATCTCAAAAAGTGCTAAAAATTTATAACTATGTACTGATCATAGCACTCTCATCAAAAAGCATGGTATCTTCGTTCATCTTGGGTCAGTCTGCATTGGCGGATGGTACGAAATTGGCCAAGTCATTGGCTAGTCATATCGGAAAAGAAAATGGACCAAACCATCACGAAGCCGTATATTTAATAATCAATACTAAAATATATCTAACTAAAATAAAAGACTACACTCCCAGAATTATTCCGTTAACTAAGGGATTGGATAAATTAGAAAGTAAATCAGTATTACTAGTAACCAAAGACCCATCTTTACCGTATCGTGATGCATTAACGAAAAAAGATTCGCCTACAGAAGATGTTTTCAACCAAATATACACCTTAACTAAGTTGAAGCACATATCTAAAGATCCCAAAAAATTGACGAAACTTTTCAAAGAATTTGACATTATTGTTGCGGATAATAGAGTACACAAATTTTTGCCAGATATCTTAGGAGCTCGTTTTTACGTTAAAAATAAGAAAATACCCTTCATGGTCCAAATGGCCAAGCCTGACAAAGATGCCAAATTATCGAAGGGAAAGAAGTCTACAAAGCTAAAGGACGACAGATGTGAGCCGGAGTACGTTAGATATCAAATGAAATCTATTGTGAGAAATGCCTCGTATATTCCATCAGCTACAGGAACATGCATCTCTGTTAAGATAGGTTATAGTGATTGGAAACCAGAGGAATTATTGACCAATGCTAACGATGTAATAAAGTATTTGGTCGAGCCAAAATTTCTTCCTGTTGGAGGATTGTTAAGAACCACCAAAAACTTAGTTAGCGTTCATATTAAGACTAGCGAAAGTATAAGTTTACCTATTTTCAAGCAAAAAGAAGACATAAAGGTAGATGATGATGACGATAGTGACTTGGACTTTTAGTGGTCGTATTGTAATTTAGAAACGTATTTGGTATATCCCTGGCATTTTGGCAATAAAGGAAGATTTTTAATAAGATATACTTCAATAACCCGAATACACATCATTGTATAGCTGTATAATAAACATTTAATATCACATATTTCTACTAATCGTTTATTTCATTATTTGAATCATATGACGTAGTTGCGAAAATAGGGAAAAAGGCTTTGTCCCGGCTATCAAAAAATTTAACCTTTTATAAACCTTGTAAATATCTTCTATAGGTAATAGCTTTCCCTTTCCCTTGCTCAAACATATGGTATTAAGTATCTTGAAAGATAACATATCGTTTTAATACAAACTAAAAAGCTGGTTTCTCTTTCTAGAAGTTAGCGTAGAAACTGCATAAATAAAATTTTCATTTGATGTACTGAACTATGGTAAATTCACAATCTTTGGGTTCGACATCACAGAATGCATCTAGTGGTGGGTCTAAACCACTAAGAACCTCGATACTGTCATTTACGAATCATTTGAGTAAACTGGCACCAGGAAAACTTTTGAATTCTTTGATGCATGATATGGAAGATCAAGAAGTTGAGATAGAACATTTCAAATATAAGCAAGAATTGGAGAGAAAATTATCTGTTACATCGGTTATTGGTTTGGGTTTCGGAATAGTAGGGGTGGTGTTTGGTTTATCCTCTACGATATGGATTTCACTTATTGATGGGGCCAACGTTACAATTCTATATGGCTGGGTAATCACGGCATTTTTCTCTACTTGCGTTGTTCTAAGTCTAAGTGAAATCGTCTCAAAGTACCCTACATCTGGAGGTGTTTATCATTTTAGTGCTCTTTTAAGCAATGAGAAATATTCGTCTGTCTGTTCTTGGTTTACTGGATGGTTTCTCATTATCGGGAACTGGACTTATGCTGTTAGCATAATGTTCGCCGGATCTCAATTTATATTGTCTATCTTTGGTTTAAAAGACGCTTATTATAAAGAAGATGCGTTCCTCGTGTTAGCTGTTTATTTTACTTTATTGACCTTCTGTGGTTTTGTCAATTTCAAATTCGCCAAATTTTTAGAAAAGATTAATAAAGTTTGTATTATTTGGTCCATTTCAACAGTTTTGACTATTGATTTTCTTTTAATTTTTTTTGCAAAGAAAACCAATTCAATAGAAGAGATATTAACGAGATTTGATAATACTCGTTCTGGATGGCCAGATCCCTTGGCGTTTATGGTGGGACTACAAAGCCCATCATTTACTTTATCTGGATATGGTATGATCTATTCCATGACGGATGAAGTAAAGAATCCAGAAAGAAACATGCCTAAGGGTACGATTAGCGCTATTTTATTGGCGGGGTTAACTGGAATTATCTTTATTATTCCTATATTAACCATATTACCAGAGCTTACATTATTGTTAGACGAAACTCCAGAAATTATGCCAATTGACTTAATATTCAAATTTGCTACTGAGTCATATTTGATATCATTTTTATTGGTGCTTCTTTTAGTAGGAACTGTTTTCTTCCAGGCAATTGCTGCATTAACCACGGCCTCCAGAACAACGTATGCATTTGCTCGTGATGGAGGGTTGCCGTTCAAGAACTATTGGGTGGAGGTTAACTCTATTGAAGAATCCATCATTCCAAAAAACGCACTATTTTTGTCGATGAGTGTCTGTGGGGCATTATCATTGTTGTCCTTGTTCTCTTCATCCGCATTCAATGCATTTATGGGGTCATCGGTTATTTCCCTTGCATTGGCGAATGGGATACCTATTCTTTGCTTGATGCTAAACAAAAGAAAGAAAATCCATGGCGCTGCGTTCCGCTTAAAAGGGTTTGGATGGTTAGTCAATGGCTTATCCATTTTTTGGGTAGTTCTACTGTTCATAATCCTATGCTTGCCGCCGGTCATTAAGGATCTTACGTGGTTTACCATGAACTACGCCATAGTTGTAATTCTTGGTTTTGCAGGGTTTGCCACGTTAGGATATAGGATATGGGGGGTTGGAAGCTTCGAGGGTCCTCAAATTGACCACGACTATTTTGAACTCCAGGACTTGGTTCGTAAGAATTTTTCGGTGGATGATTCGTATGTTCAGGGCATCGACGATCAAGACGATGATGGCAATGCGATCACAGGGCCTTCCGACATACAAACAGATCTCAACAAGCCAAGCGAAGGCCCTTAGTATTATAAAAACTGCGGCAGAAAGATGTCAATTGCCTATTAATTTGGATGCAAATCTTCCTTGTGTTTCTTACATTTTCGATATAGATATTATACACTTATATATACATGTAATATAGTTTAAATGAGTTACTGTTAACGACTCTTATTATCTGACCTTCAATTTAACTTGATCTAGTTCGTCCAGAACAGGTATAAGAGAAAGGAACGGCCAAAGTTTATAATTTTATACAAATTATGCAACATCTCAAAATATTAAAAGAAACGTTTCAAACATAATAAGTTATTATACTCCACAAATCCGGTACTATTAGCACCCTATTTAGCTATTAGGACACCACATCTATATGAATGAACGTAGATCTACATTGATGACAATTGCAGCATAACCCATTAAAGAAGAGTAGTTAGTACTGGTTTCTGATATACGCGTGAAATATGGGGACAGGCGTAAAATTGGTACTGAAAATTTTTTGATCTTTCTGTATGGAAAATCCGAGTAATAGATAGAAAGCAGGTATTTAGTAAGTATATATAGTACTTTAGCTTGAATATCATTCATACAACATAATATAATTAATAATGTCTGCCGATCATACGAGAGATCCATGTCCTATTGTCATTTTAAATGATTTCGGTGGTGCCTTTTCCATGGGTGTCATTGGTGGTTGCGTCTGGCATGGTATCAAAGGTTTCCGTAACTCCCCATACGGAGAAAGAGGATACGGTTCTATATCAGCCATCAAGTCGCGTGCACCAGTCGTTGGTGGTAACTTTGGTGTTTGGGGTGGTTTATTCTCCACGTTCGACTGTTCTGTCAAGGCCGTGAGAAAGAGAGAAGATGCTTGGAATGCTGTCATTGCAGGTTTTTTCACCGGTGGTGCCTTGGCCATCAGAGGTGGATGGAGACATACCAGAAACTCGGCCATCACTTGTGCTTGTTTGTTAGGTGTTTTCGAAGGTGTCGGTATGATGATGCAAAGAGTCATGGCCCAACCTACAGTAGCACCAGCATACCCAGAAGAAGCTGCTCCTTTAGCGGCTTAAGCGTCCATGACGCACAAACTACCAGTTCCTGTTTCACCACCCCTTTCTTAACATCTACTCCATTGCCACCCATCTTTACATTATATCAACGAGAGAAATGAGTCACAATAAAATCTTGTATATACTTGCTGTATTTATCATATTTAATTTTTCTACATCACAAAGCTATACGAATATACAATAGTTTACGTTACCATAAGACTAAGTTGTCGTTGTATTTTCCTAGTAGTGTCCTAATGTAGTATCTAGTAGTACTTAAGAATGTTTAAACATTTCACGTGACTATATACAAATATCGAGAGTCAACCTTTACACCAGTTGAGGAGAACAAATGAAGAACCGCTATAATACCTTAGTTTAGCAATTTAGAACCATTTAGTATACGTTATAGTTGGTTGAATTCAAGACGCAGTTGTTAGTTGCTCCATTAGATGTCTTACAACTTTAATTATAATAGACACAATTCGTTGGGGGGAAATTGGCAATTACCCCCACCGTATGGATTGAACGGTAATGAGCAAACACCACCGTTGGCAGATAATACACCGGGGGTACAAGACCCACAGAGGACAGCACAATCAAATCAAATGCCAGGATTCAGGAATCCATGGTATACGTCAAATCAGGCGCCAAGCGGTATTGTTACGTCGCCTAATATGTCACAATCACCTACTAAGGGTCAACAGACGATTCCGCTTTTACAGCAGCAAAATAAGAGAATGTCATTTGCTAACAAGCTACCAACGACATACGAGTATGATGGACAAAGACCTTCGAATGCGCCACCGTTTATTCATCCGCCAACAAGAGTGGATAACCCCTTCAATCAATATTATACTAATCAGGAAGTGAACTTGGGACATGTCGATAGAAGGATGTCGGCTGTCGCAGATGGGGCATATTACAGTGCTAACAGCTATAATGCGTACCCTCCTGAGTCATCTGAGTCTGAATTTCAATCACAATACATGCAAAATGTTCCACTTTATGATCAAGGGTTGAATAGAAGATCTTCAGTTGCAACTGGTAATTACCACCAGACAACACCTAATACACATGTCAACTACCACCACCAGCCCGCCAAAGTTGGTAGATCTGCGCTGATCGTGCAATATCAACAGTATCAGCAAGCATTACAGAATCAAAGCCAAACAACGAAGCGGAAAGCAGCTCCTAAAGCCAGGAAGATATATAATAAGTATGATTTACATCCTAAGGTACATCATCAACCGAAATATCGCCGTTGCTCTGTTAATTCTATTCATATTTCGCCGGTAAACGCTTTGTCGGTGTACATTACAGAATCATACAGAATATGCCAACCTAAAAAATTCCAGTATTGCAAATCAACTAATCCAAAGAGGGTGCTAACAAAACCACTGGATCCCAAGTACAATAACGGATTCGATAATGAAGATAGTGATTACATATTGTATGTGAACGACATATTGGGTACCGATGAAGGAAGAAAATATATTGTTTTAGATTTGCTAGGATCGGGAACCTTTGGACAAGTTGTTAAATGTCAAAATCTAACGAATCAATCGGTTTGTGCTATAAAAGTTATTAAATCCAAACCGGCTTACATGAATCAGTCATTGACAGAAGTAAAATTACTTGAATATTTAAACTCTAATAGTAACAGTAAACGTTTCATACGTTTGCTAGATACTTTTATGCACAAAGAACATTTATGTTTAGTGTTCGAGTTACTAGCATCTAATTTGTATGAATTGATTAAGCAAAACCAATTTCAAGGACTTAATATGAAATTAGTTAAGTTGCTTACAAGACAATTGTTGGAAGCAATGGCTGAATTGAAAGGGTTCCAGATGATACATTGTGATCTAAAACCGGAAAATATATTGCTTTTTCAACCAGATAAGCCGGATATCAAGGTCATTGACTTTGGTTCAGCGTGCTTCACTAGACAGACGGTATATTCGTATATACAATCTAGATTTTACAGGTCTCCCGAAGTGATATTAGGATTACCATATACTGAATCCATAGATATGTGGTCATTGGGATGTATCGTTGGAGAATTATTCTTGGGATTGCCAATGTTTCCGGGTACATCAGAGTTTAATCAGATTTGGAAAATTGTCGATATGTTAGGCTACCCACCAAGACATATGATAGAGGTTGGACGTAACTCGTTAAATTTTTTTAACAAATTTCCTCCAAGTATACCTGACGGAAAGCCAGTCTTTAAAGTAAAGACGTTAGAAGAATATATTCAATTTTTAGCAATCACTAAAGGAAAGGAGGACCAAGTAAAGAAAGAACAACCGAATAAAAATTACTTCAAACATCGTTTATTGAAGGATATAATTATGAATTATAAATTGCCTTCGAAGAAAATGACGAATTCTATGATCGAGAAGGAATGCCAAGAGAGACTTTTACTTATTGACTTTTTATCCAAGGTGCTTAATTTGAATCCTTTAGAAAGACTAACTCCACAAGAAGCTTTGAAACATCCTTTTGTTAGTGATATTTCACTTCATTATCCATCTACATCGTCTACAGCCTCGTCTGGTGATCGTTCGTCGAATCATTCTGATCTTTCCGATAGTTTGAAAGATGCAGGTAAAACTCCAACGGGAAGTATTTCCGATTCGTCGAGGGCCCCAATTCCCTCAGAAACATAAACCAATTTATTGCGTTCATCAATATCATCTTTCGTATAACTTCAATAGATAGTGATATGATAAGATGGAGCATTTGTTATGTATTGGAATTAATGAGATAATTATTTAGGGTGTTATGATGATTACTTCGTTATTGAATCTATTTGATATTTTCTTGAGGATAAAGGTATTGCAGCGCATTCTACTAAAAGCATTGCTTAATGTGTGAAGAGTTCTTTCAATATTAGTAGTTAAATTTATTCTACTTTCATTATAAACGTCAAACGTGTTGATATTAAGTTGATTTCGAATCATTGCCTGAAGTAGCATAATTCCAAATTCGTATTATTTTTGAGAAGGCAGCTGCTAAAGAAGGATTTACAAAGTTAGTTAATTTTGAGTACTACTATTAAATAAAACTTTAATTATTAGGATAGCAATACGTATCAACACTAAAAACAACAAACAACACTAGCACATGTTTCTGATACATAGAATGCTGCCTCCGACAGTGAAAATTGTAGCCTATAAAGTTTGTAGAATGTAGTGAATTTTTCACCTTGTGTATATTTTATCAATTTTAATTAAGTATGCGAAGATTTCTTCTTGACAGCTAAAATTGTAAAAAACTACTATGACATCTTATCATATTTAAATAAATAACTATAAACCATAAGTAAGAATATATCTTTTCCCAGAACCTTCTGTTAGGCCGTAAAGTTCATTGCCGTGTTTGTTATAGGCAAGATCTTCGGGACTTGGTGGAAAGAAGCTTGACTCTCTCTTTGGCTTAGAGCCAGCTGTCCAGGTGTATAAATCACCAGGATCTTTTTCATTGCTAACTGAAATGTAAACCTTTTCACCGACGGAAACTGCACCCTGCATTCGAGGCTGACCAATACAATAGCCAAAACTGGCAGTCTTTGACTTTAACTTCCTGCTTCCAGAATCCAAGTTCCATTTTACTAATCTAGTAATTTTCTTAGAACTAGCTGTTCGATACTCCCCCACTATTAAAGAATCCGGGGTAGAGGTTCTATCAAGAGCGACATATGAAAATTTGAAGTCCTGTTGAGGGGTTAATTTATAGTAGCTAATTTGGGGAATAACATACTTATAATTAGCAGCTGTATACTTATTCCCATCCTTTCCGATTTTACCACCATCGTCCACCTCCCATATAGTAGATAAATCAAATGTTCTTAGACCGATATCTGTATCCACCACATATAGAATGTCTCCGTACCATGCTATTCCGCCCGCATGAATCTTAACAGGCCCAAAATCATCTTTGGCTGTTGGATAAACTAGTAAAACGTGT